TCTCTCTCTCTCTCTCTCTCTCTCTCTCTCTCTCTCACAGATATATATATATATCTGTCTGTCTCTCTCTGTCTGTCTGTCTGTCTGTCTGTCTCTTTTTTCTTTCTTTCTCCTTTTTTATACCCTTTTTTTTCTTTTTTAAAAATTGACTTTTAAGGGGGGGGGGGGGGGTCAACCGTCATTTTTATTGCCTTGTCCCCATTTTCTGCCTGGCCTGTCGGTGTATCCCATCTTCCCCCGCGTGTATGTGGACACCGGTATCTCTGTCTGTCGTCAGGAAACACATACGCTATTTTAAGAGGTCTGGTTGTCTGTCAGAGATTGTTAATCAGTTGCCTGACCTGTTTCTACTACTACAACCCACCCCGACCCCCTTTCCAACCCCTTTCCCAACCTCACCTGTCTCTCTGGATCTCCAGTGACGTTGGTGGTTAGGCTACCGGACTCGTAATCGTGCGATTGCAGGTTCGGGGGTTCGAGCCTCAGCTCGGTCCGACGTTGTGTCCTTGGGAAAGGCACTTTACGCGAATTTCCCATTTGGCTCGGTGCTTTCGGAGATGGACGTTAAACTCGGAGGTCCCACCTCTTAAATAACCTAACAGTGTTGATGGGGCCTTAAACCTATACCATTTCACAATTGTCCTGGATCTCCTATCAGTTCTGATTATCGACTCTGTAATTGTAAATGGTCTAATGTATTTGATCTGTCTGCCCATCCTTCAGTACTGTTCCTTTTTGATGGTGGGTGGTTGGCAGGTGCTCTGGTTTGGTTGGCTCCTTCTTTCTGATCAGACATCTATCGTCCTTATCTCTCCTCCTTTTCTTTTTTTTTGTTACCTTTTAATTAATAGTGCATGTAACTCTAAGTTATGGCGTTAGACCAATGTCAACAATGCCACTAATATCACTAATGAAAACATTCTAGTTATCTTCATAAAATACATGTACTCGTGTGTTTAGACCAATGTCAACAATGCCGCTAATATCACTAATGAAAACATTATAGTTATCTTCATAAAATACATGTACTCGTGTGTTTAGACCAATGTCAACAATGCCGCTAATATCACTAATGAAAACATTCTAGTTATCTTCATAAAATACATGTACTCATGTGTTTAGACCAATGTCAACAATGCCGCTAATATCACTAATGAAAACATTCTAGTTATCTTCATAAAATACATGTACTCATGTGTTTAGACCAATGTCAACAATGCCGCTAATATCACTAATGAAAACATTCTAGTTATCTTCATAAAATACATGTACTCGTGTGTTTAGACCAATGTCAACAATGCCGCTAATATCACTAATGAAAACATTCTAGTTATCTTCATAAAATACATGTACTCGTGTGCCAGTTGGCGTGCAGTTAAACACAAGTTTTGTCTTCTTGTTCTTCACAGCGATTGATTCAAGATTTCCAGCCTTTGGCCAGAAATGTCTACAAGTGCAGAATCAATGGGAAAGAAGAGGTAACGGTTATTGGTAGATGAGGGGAAAAAACAACTTGGAGTGGGTATTTCAAGTCTGGAACACAAGTGTGCTGCATTTACTGATATTGATACAGACATATTATTTGTGTTTTTTACTAATATTTTATGTCCCTAGTAAGGCAATTTTGATCATCTGAGTTTGAGAAGTAGGCTGCTTTGACCCTGCTTGTCAGGACCAGCCTGGAAAGGTTGGGATACAAATATCCCATCAGACAGATTTAATACACTTGATAAAATCCTCACCAGCAATTCAGCTCGCATCTTTTGCATGCAATAGTGGAGACCTTAGCCTTCATTTGTTTTATATGCACTGGAGGTCACCTGTAACACATTGTAAGATATCGTGGTTGTTTTATAAAGAAAAATAATTAATTGTGTTTTCCTTCAGGACTCTGAGTGTCAGAACCACATCCGGCTACTGGTCCGGAACACCACCTTGCCCGACACCTTCTTCATGTGTGCCACCGGGGCCTACAGTCCTATAGCCTACCAGCTCAAGGTAAGTGGCATATTAGGGAAAGGAGGCCTCTATTCAAGCTTGGAAGTCTCCAGCATTTCTCACATTTTTGCTCTCTCTCTTTCTTTCTTTCTTTCTCTCTCTCTCTCTCTCTCTCTCTCTCTCTCTCTCTCTCTCTCTCTCTCTCTCTCTCTCTCTCTCTCTCTCTCTCTCTCTCTCTCTCTCTCTCTCTCTCTCTCTCCCACTCTCTGTTACTCTTTCTCTCCCACTCTCTTTCTCTCTGTTTCTTTCCCTCTCTCCCCCTGTCTCTCTCTCTTTCTCTCTCTCCCTCTCTCGCTCTCT